TCTCTGCTCCTGTATTGTTTCCTGTTGTGCAGAGTGTTTCCCAATGTAAATGCATGCTTCAGTCATCTCGGTTTTCTCTTTTTTAATGTTTATTAATGCCTGACTTCTCCTCTTAATATTCAGGCCAGTGTCGCACTTTGTTAACATACGGAGAGTAGCTTAGGGACCTGGAGTGGAAAGGTTTTCTATGCTCACTTTATTCTACCTGCTTGAGGTTCTAGTTTAACGCTACTGCAATCCAAATATACAGTAAACAGCATCTGAATACTGATGATTACCACATTCAGAAAAAATGCTAGAGTTTCTGTGTAGCTGCAAGTAATGACTGTTTTTTGTGCTTATTTATAAGATATGTAGTTTATTTTTAATAAGCCCTTGTTATGCGATTCCTTTCCCCCTCTCATACAGTATATATACAATGTTGCAAGAGTGGATGCTCATATTACACAATGAATATGAAGTCTGTTTGTGAGGGGCGACCAATCGGCAGAAAGAAGGCTCAAAGAGAAGGTAAAAAGCCCAGAAAAAGTAATAAATCCAATTCAATTTATTTATTTATACAGTGCCAAATCACAACAATTGTTGCCTTAAGGCAAGCAAGTTGCCTATAACATCCACTGGTTGGACCTGTTAGCTGGATCTTCCAGAATGTTTTATTTTTGTATCATTTTATTTTGGAATCACAGGACCGGGCACAGAATAGGACAAGACATGGATACAGAGCAATCATACGGGTGTAAACACTAACATCAGTGTACAGGTGGTTGTGTGTGCTGTGTATGCCGTGTTTTATATGAGTGTGTATGACTGCTCAGTCTGGACCCATAATAATAATGGAGGGTGCGGGGAGGTACTGGTGATGTGTCTGCCCCCAGCCACTGGCACCAAGATAAGGTCACCATCAGGTGGTCAGGCAGTGACTCAGCATGCTAAGGTCGGCCAGAGCATCAGTTCTGTTGTTTTCTAATGAAATTAACTTTTCCTCTGTTCTAATATTTATACTCTTTGGGATTTATTTGGGTTGTTTAGATTTATAATATGCAAATCACTAGATCGCTGGCTGACCTTGACAGCAGAGTGTTGACCTACTGGAAGACTTGTTCCAGGAGAGTAGTCGAGAAAATGTTAACAGTAACTGGACTTAATTGTGTTGCCTCTTCTAGAGTTTCACCTGCAGCATGATAGATCCATATATCGTAAAAGGCATAAGTAGATAAAATACCAAGATCATATCTCTACCAAGGGTGAACATCCTACATACCTCACAGTATGTAGAAAATTTATTCAATGGTAGAAAACACTTACAAAAATTCCTGCATCCATTGACTGCAAAACCATTTCTGAAGTGGACCAAACCCAGCTGGACTACCTATGCACTACAAGGTGTATCAAAAAAAAAAAAATCCGTTCTCAAAAGGCTATATTTTTTAAAGTAACGGGTATAGAAGCTTGCAGTAACTTTTAAAGTACATGGCTGAATATATAGTTTTGCATATAAAACTTCCAATGTTCACAAGTCCTCAGTGTCACCGCCCCCATACAATAGTGAAACTTGTCTCATACTGTTGTGAGCGTGTCTGAAGTCACAGCAGCTATTGCTGTTGTTATGCTAACTACCGATATCCACAGCCACTGAAAAAAAAAAGTTGGCACATTTTTTCCAGAATGCTGAGAAAAAAGTCAGAATTATGAGATTAAAGTCAGAATTCCTTTTTCCTCAGAATTCCGAACTTAATCTAATTTTTTTTTAAATCCGAATTGTGGAAAAGAAGAAAAAAAGACATGTCCACTTTTTTTCCCATTGGCCCTAATCCACTTTGATTATTACTGCTGAATGCCTGCGGAATTAAAGCACTTGGAAACTGGATTATTCAAATTTGAAAATAGGAGTTGAAATTGTAGTAATAACAGCTGCAGTAGCTGTAGAAGTAGCCTTCTTATTTTTCTTCTCGTTCTTTGGGCGGCTTCCTTAAAAATACTCAGTTGCTGGGTTTGGTAAGTGTCCATCTTGGCAGGATTGGGATTGTGGTCATGGTTAAAAGAAACCACCGGTGGTATAAGGCTGATGTTTTGCTGACCCATCGAGCAACCTGAAATTCATCAGCCTGACAGCAGGTCAAACTGTGATTTCTACAGCTTTTCCTCAGCTCCTTTAGAAGCTGCCTCAGAAATGACCGTACCTCATCATGTCTAACCTCAAGACGGGAGATTTATAGCACCGCTCCACTTGAACACAATCACGGAAGCTGAGCGTGTTTGCCTCGTTTTCAATTATTCATTGATGTGTTTAATTCTTTCTCGGCCGTCTATGAGGCTCCCCGGGGCCTGAGTGTAAACAGTGCTGTGAGCAGCGCGCTCTGTTTTCGTCTGGCTGCCTGTGAACTCTGTCAGAGGCCTTTAGTTTGACAGATGGAGAACCTTAGGCTCAGATTCACCGTGTCAGTCTGTCTGAGGAATGAGATTTCAAGACAGGGCAACTTTACTCAGACTGGATATTTTTGGAACAAACAATCAAACTAGATCAGAAGGCGATGTGTTTGCTATTATACTGCAGCTCAGGGCTTCCAATTCTCACACATATACGTGCATCATCGACCTTACCTCAGCGTCCATATTCCTCCACAAACCTGAAGCCTCCAGTATTCCAGTAAACTGAGTAAATAGATGTAATTAGATCAATACGAGTATCATTTTTTATCTGAGAAATCAACCCCTCAGGCTCACACTGCAGTATTTTCCCTCTCAGAGCTGCATCGTTACTCTTAAATGCATCGCTAACGACCTCATCTATAAACTGCTGCGACGCCATCTAAATTAGAGAATGATGACTTCCAAAATGTCAGTGCTAAATATCTGCTTCTGCAACACACGTCACAAATTTCAGAATTTGAAATTCATACCTCCTCCAGTGCTTCAAAACTATTAGAACTGTAAAATTTCTTCTCCCTCTCTTTTGCTCCTGGTTCCTGCTGTGCACAGACGCAGCTTGAAAGAGATCACGCCAAAATGAACGGACCGCATTCATGACGAAGAAAAAAAATTAGTATAAAATGTACCCTATGCTGCCCTCAAAAAGAAAGTATTTTACTTAATCTCTCTAGCTGTTATGGTTTCTAATGCGCACAGCTGTTCAGTTGTAAGCTTTTTTGCGCAACTCCTCAGGATCGTTAGAAAGATGGTACATGAGTTGGGGCTGCAGCCCCGCAGACCTCTGGTTATCGCCCACATTTGCAGATATTCAAACACATCTGGTGTTGTGCCCACTGACAGCTGTGCACACAGAAGTAGAGAACATCATTAACCATATATCTGCATTCAAGCCAGTAAAAAACTACTCTCAAAATATTCTCATTCCTTTTTTATTCAAGACATTTGGGTATTCATTTACACTTTACTCCTCCGATAAAAGCATCAAAGGGTAAACTGCAGTGATCCTGAAACCGTGACTGGATTCTCAATATGTGTCATGTATTGGCTTTTGTGAAAATAATGTGAGCTACCGCCAACACAGTTGAACTCTCATTATGTTACTAATAGAGACATCAAGATAAACTGAAGTCCAGCAGCAGTGCTAGCTAACTGTGGGGATACATGTGTTTTTCAGTTTATTATTACGTGTGGCTCCATAATGTGGTGTTTTAAACATTTGCCTAGAAAGCAAATATCCACAGTTTGATTCCAGGAGGAGATACGAATCCCTTCGAGCTTGCATCACAAAGGGCTTAAAAAACAGTCACCAATCTGTTGACTCATCTCTAAAGGCTCATTTTATAGCATACTATACTTTCATGCTTTCGAGAAAAATAAAATCAATCAAATAGCCTAGATCGAGAGAGGAGTAAGAACGTCAAACATCCATCAAACCTGTCTGCATCACAGGTCTTTAATGATAGCTTGTTCATCGAGCAACAAATGAGACAGAATTTACACTTTGGTGAACATAAATGGTTTATCAGTGTTGTTATTTAAAAACAAGCCGTGGTTATAATAGCCTCTGTATGTGAAGGTGAAAGTCTGCAGCTATCAAACAAATGTTGGCGTTAAAAAACAGAAACTTGATATTTCTCGCTTTGTCTCGAATCTTCATTGACATTCCTCGGTTGTGACAAGCTTTCCTGTCAGCTTGAAACTGCTTGGGCGTTCTCCTTTGACCTGAAATCAACAAGACATTTTCACCCAGAGAAGCGCTGCTCACTGGATGTTTTCTTCTTTGGACCATTCTCTGTAAACCCTACAGATGGTTGTGTGGGAACATCCCAGTTTGAATAACCTTTCCTCATCAGGTTGTCTTGGTTATGTCTACATAACGAGATACCTTTGATTGGCTGATTTACGTTAACGAGTAGTTCACTAGGTTTACTTAATAAGTGTAGATGTATTTAAAGTCTATATTTTAAAAATATAGAAAAGGCTTGTAGCTCTTCGTCCAGCCAAAACCGAGAGCCCATCTACCAATCTGACATTCACTCATTCAACCCTGTTCCTTATAACAAGGCATTCACAGTGTTTTAAAAAACCCTGTACTCATTCATTTTAAATTTAGCACACACATATGCTCAGTGACACAGATCCTGCAGCTTCCCTGTGACTCTGTGCATCATCACCCAGGAAAACATGGGAGAAAAAGTAAGTGCTACAGATAAAACGAGGACAGACTGAGAGTGAGAGCACACATGTCTGAGTGTGTTTTCACTGAGAGAGACCCGATGTCTGTAAGATTCATTTCAAGGCAGTCATTTCCCCACTCATGATTGTGCGGGCACATGTGTATGACTACACGTAGGCTGAATCAGAGGGTGTGTGAATGAGGGAGTGCGTCATCGTGAGTACTTTTGTGTCTGAGGGTTGGAGTAGGAAATGGGTTTTTGCTCTCAGAATGATATGTAAGACTTTTATCAGTGTAGTACACAGTGTTATTATTTCATCCTTGATAAATTACAGTTTCTTATTTTTACATCGCCCACCACGCTGCCACTGATATATTCATAAATTCCCTCCAGGTGATTTGGTCTCCCGGGCCATGCACCACCTCCAGCCGCTGCACATCAAGAATGCCAGCAACGGGACTCCGGTCCACCAGAAGGCCAACACCACAGTGCACTGGGAGCCCGAAGCCCTCTATACCCTGTGTTACTTCATGCACTGCCCGCAGATGGAGTGGGAAAACCCCAACGTAGAGCCATCCAAAGTCACCTTACAAACTGAGAGGTGAGTCCAACAGAGGCTTCAGACACTCGGGGAATCAGGTGTTTTGTACTGTGACCACATTCAGGTTAGCTCAAAGAGACCATCCAGCTGACTCAGCTTAATAGTTTAAATTCTGTAATCCCAGGAGAAAACTGAATAATCAATAGCATTTTTAAAAGATGAGCAATAATGCACAAAACATGTCGTCCTGGAAGCAAAACATCCTGCACTTGTTAACCTGGCCCGTTGAGATTATTTCAGTAACGTCTCCTCCCACTCACCCTGTCTGTCTGCAGTAATGACTTTACTTTCCCTGTGTGCATGTAAAAGGGCAGGAGTCTTTTAGTCAGCAACATGGGCTGACAGCTGAAGCAGGCAGGTAAGGAGCTTGGGAAGGCTCTAGGCTAACCTTACTGAACCAGCAGTTTGGGATTGCAATGCATAAATATATCTCAGAGCTTCTCAGAAATACTCGGCCTGACCTCAGGAGGTGCAGATAAAATCTGAGGTCTAAGGGTTGGTTTCTCCCCAAATTAGATCCTCACAGCAGTTAAACCACTCTTGCATTTGAGTGCTATGCATGTTATTCAAAGTCAACTCATTAAAGTAAAATTCATAGCTAAAAAGTTGGTATTAGATCTCATGGGGCCAGTTTCTTGTCATATTATAAATATGTCAGGCGATTTGGTGATTCTAAATTGTCCACAGGTGTGGATGTGAGTGTGAGTGGCTGTCTGTCTCTATGTGTTAGACACGTCCACGTTATATCCAGCCTCTCACCTAGTGTCAGCTGTGATAAGGCTTCAGTCTCTCCTGAGACTTTAAGTTGGATAAGCAGTTGAGAAAATAGATGGCTGGATAGAGTGCAAGTGGCAATCCACTAAAGAAACTTGCTGGGAAAATGGTAAGTTAATGTGGCTTGGGTTTGTCCCTCCATTTTCTTTCCTTTTTAGAATTTGAATGCTCTGTCTACGCTATAACAAGATTAGCACATGGCTTTTATTTCTGCTCTCAGTTGTTTACAAGGATTTACCACTGACTGGTGATAATCTGAACAAAGACAGAGAATATACTGGTTTATTTCCTGGAAAAAAATGATTATGGGTTCAAGAAAACCAGTGATTGTCAGCAACAAAACGCAAAAAGAAAGCTTAATGTGTCAAAACTTTTAAGTGAAACTCGCCTTGTGATCAATTTTGCACAGTAAAAGAGCTTAAAATGAGCAATAGCTATTCCTCTGCTTCAGTCAGTTAACTATGCTCAGCTATTTAAAAAAAATTCATAGCTATTATTATTTCAAAATTATTCCATAACAGCACAATTGTTGCACTTGATTAATACAGTGCTATCTACCTGCTAAAAATGCAAATTGGAGCTTCATCAGTTCTGTGTATGGAGAGGGAAAGAAAACGAGAGACTGAGGAGTATTTTTGTTGTTTGTAACTGTGGTCATACACAGAGAATAATCTACCCGCTGTAACACCAGGACATAAGTGAATGGATATCATCTGAACACGTAAAGTCATGGCCTTTCCCCAGCTCTTTATTCTTTTTTCTAACATCTTTATGATTCTATATCCGTTTCTATATTTGCAAGTTTACTGGGAACAATGTTGTCTAAATCCACCAACATTACACTGGTTTGATGTGAAACTGGTGTATCTGCAATGGGAAAATTAACTTGAAGCAGATACTGTTGTAAATGATGGATTGAGTTTATTAAGCCGTTTAGGTCAGATTTAAGCTAAAGGACCAAGAGTTGTACTTTTATTTTGCATTGTTTAGTCTGATTTGACATTATTTTATTTATCTTTTCCCGTTTTTCCCATCTTTGTTGTTTTACTATTTGGATCTAAAAGAATTTGTATAATGTTACATGTCTCATACTTTTGAATTTAAAAAGAAAAAAGAACATGGAAAGTTTAGGCTCCAGTCCTGCAGGGCTAAAGACGAGTCAGTGATCCCCTGGCAACTTCTATTCACTAGGGAAAAAGGTGCATTCCCAAATTGAATTGGGAGTTGTTGCTTGGGGTTGTTTAGTGAAATTGGTTGCAAAAAGCTTGGTGTACCAAAAAAAACAACAACTGTGTTCTCTTTGCCCTTCAGCAGATTGCCACAGTTCAGTTTAATTCAATTTAATTTTATTTACATAGTGCCAATTCACAACAACAGGTAAAGAACCTATAGAGAAAACCCCAACAATCAAACAACCCCCCTATGAGCAAGAGACAGTCGAAAAGAAAAACTTCCTTTTAACAGGAAGAAATCTTTGCCAGAAACAGGCTCAGGGAGGGGCAGCCATCTGATTGGGCGTCACAGGGGATGGCAGGTACCTTTGTTTTGGTTGGCTGGCAGACAACAACTTGTATGGAAATGTTAGACAACTACTTACAGGGCGGTAGTAAAACTGTGAAGAGTTCAACAGTATGTTTGTTCTTAAAGTAAAGATTTGCTTCACTGCTTAAGCCTGGAAGTTGAAAGGGAGCCTTCTCTGTTTCACTACCACCTAGACAGTAGTTGGTTTAGTTGGTGAGTGTTTGCAGCCAAGTCGGAAACTTCCATGCAAACTATGACCAAAGCAACTGCAAGGAGATTTTTGTTGCTGCATCGTATACCTCTTTGCAACCAATTCTACCTAGCATCTGGCAGCAATTCCAGCAACCTAGCAACAAGTGGTTGCCAGGGGGGTGCTGACTAGTCTCTAAGCTTGTGTAACTGGGGTGTTACCAGTAACAGTTGACTAGTAAACTAACAAGATGGACTACAATAGCTTAGCTAATGGTGGTACCTTTTGTCAAAAAATGACATCAGTCTAGTCCAGACAGGTCCAGTGGGGTAGCAACAAACTAAAGGAAACCTAGCACACTCTGATATGTGATCATTTTAGAGAAAATTTTTTGTCTACGTGTAGAAGTAAATGCTGTTCCTGGTGGCATTTAGGTATTTTCATCCTTTCAACCACATTGCTACTGTCAGTTTGTGGTATACCAGTTAGTGCAGATGTTCCTTGACCCTCGCACAAGTTTTTCGCACCACAAGCGATCTGGTAAGAAGCTGTGTGCTGCTCAGCGCTGACACTTCCCTAGGCCTTGAGCAGATTGATGGGAACCAGAGGGACTTTGCTTGGATGGACGGATGGACAGATATTCAAACATCTTTCTTCCACTCTGCAGAGATAGAAACTCAATCCTGACGACCCCGGGGAGCACTAGGAATGTCAGGCTGAGTGACATGTCAGCAGGTTCAGGCCCCCGGAGAGAAAATTCTCTATTTAGCATTCAACTGAAAGGTTGAAGACAAGTCAAAAAGGGCCTGAAAGACACAGCAGGATGAGAGGAAGACAGAATATGATCAAATGAGATAAGATCATCTTTTTGGGTTATTTTGGGAAACTTCAGACGAGCTTCAGTGAGGTGAAAAATTACTGCAATGACTTTTACACCTGAGCTTTGAATATTTACCTGATGTAAATTTGCTTTAGAAGAAGAGAAGTGTTTCTGCAAGACTTCAATTTTTAAGTTTAGTGGTAAGTAAAAGTAGTGAGAGAGCTGCTTTGATGTATTTGGTAATTTGGAACAGACGTTTACTCTTTTACTCTGGCAGTTCTGGCTGTTGTATGTTGCTGCAGGCCAACTGTCTGCATCGATGGATAACATTTCCCGCAGTGTTTTCATTCCAGACTTGGTCTCTCCTCTTTTTCAAACCTTGCAATGTAAAATACATCTTCCAAAAGCTCAGTGAAAAGGGAGGAGCTCTGCATTGTTGCATTGGTCAGCCAAATGCTAAGCAGAAAGGAAAACCCTTCTTTTTTTTTTTAATGCAGTTCAGTTCCTGGCACACTGTTGGTGTACAGACAAGGAAAGACTGAGTTATGGAATGAGAAACTGATGCACACACAGTGTTGAGTAGTAAAACGTCAGTATCTGAAAGCTGGTGCCTTGATAAAACATGTGCTTACAGCAGATTTACCAGACGCCTGCATAAACAGCAAGCATAGCCATCCCTGATGGTTTCTCTCACTTGGGTACGGGGCTCGTGTTGGAAATAATTTTTTTTCTCTAAGAAATTATAGTTGCTAGAGGGTCATAAGGGAGAAAAGCTCTGAACAGACCTTTACTGATGGACCTACAATATAATTTAACTGACTGTAACATGAAATCAGCCTGTTTAATTTAATGCTTTAAGGTTTCCCAATGTCCATCTGAGACTTCCTCATAGGTTTAAAGGCCTTGAAGGAAAATATCCTGTGTTATTATCATTTAAACTGGGATCTGGTGAGTCAAAATTACTTGTAACTCGATCAGTATTAATGATTTCAAGTATCCTGAATAGCTTAGTTTATAAAGAGGATATAAAAGGGTGTATAACTATAAAAAGGAGAAAGCTCGCTAATGAAAACCATGTGAAAGAAATGTTTTTGTAATTATCTACAAATTACCCACTTCAGAGAGTAAGACACTCCAAAAAGTATATATTAGCCAAGGTTATTCTGTTTGCTCGCTAATGCAGGGTAGAGAAAAGCACCACTTTACAAGCTTGATAGGATAATTATTAGAAATGAGTAGGATGTACATGGAACATGCTGCCAAGAGAAGAAGAGTCTTTTAGATCAGTCCAGTCTGTTCAGTCTTTAACCAAATCTCTTTTTTACAATAATTTATCATTGTGAGGTTGAAGTGGAGAGGACCCAAACCAGGACATGTGGGCAGAAACAAATGAGTCTTTGGCTGAATCACAAAAGGTTACATGAACCAGGAGTCCAGGGAACACAGAACACAAGCAGGGAAATCAATAGTAGGATTTGACAAAGGGAGACATATGAATATACTCTGGGGAGTAATTATGGATTAGAAATATGAGGCAATAGAGACACAGGTGCATGTGATCCACACAGGTGAAGATAATCAGACAGATGGGAAGTAAAGACTGGAACAAGACACACAAGAAAATCTACAGAAACAAGAAGACTTGATATGCCAACAAATACAAGAGAATGGAAACTACAACCACAACTGACCGTG